CCCCTCCACCCCAACCTCATTGGTTCTTTGAAAATGTAAATGTCGCCCTCCATGCATTGCATGTCCCCGAGAAGCATCATGTTCAAAAGGAAGAATTTTATCCCGAAATGCATTAGCCACAGATACCGTTTTAGCACATGTATCACAAATAATTGCATGAGTCAAAGTTGCTTCTGGGCGCACGGTAGCTTCAACTCAAAATAAACACAAGCTGAATGAATCAAAACAGACTCCCCAGCTTCTGTTCACACACACACCTACATGCATGCTCACCCTTGGATAATGTCATTATGACCGGCGTGGTAAGACGAAAGACAGCTAAGTGATGTAAGAGGGTCAGCCAAAGTTGAACCGCGTACGTCACTCGTTCGCTGGCGAACGGGAGCACCTCCAGCCCGCTGACTGAAGTCTGATGACTCCCATCCGGCGTGGTCCCGAACAAGGCGCGATGTCGCAAAGATGGGGATAATTGAAAGAAATGAGCACTTCAGATGTCATTTTAGCGTGAAACATTTCGACGCAGCTTCTTGAAAACCCCGCCATTATCATACAAGGGATGACGGCTCATCTTTGAAACGTTTTCTATAGAATTAGATGATCCATTAGTAGGCTGCCTTTACTGGGCTGTTTCAAGCAAAAGTACTCCCATTTGGAAACGTATATGGGTGTACTCGTCGGATCGGTTTGCATTACTTGCTGCCAGTCGCCCCATCCCGCCCACAGGTTTTGAATAATTCCCATACTTCTACTTCATAATAAATGAAAAAGCGAGACTGGGCTGGAATTTCAGCCTATGCCTAATGAGTATCCAGTGTTGAAGACATCTGCATCGGGGCATGTGGAGTTGAAGACCATCCGACTGGGTGGGGGTGGGGCGGGATTGAACTATGCATGCGCTGCCTCATTAGTCTCCAATCTCGGGAAAACAAAACCTCAGGCAATAACGAGACCGTTTGCTCCTGGAGGATCATTGATTTTCATCCAAAATTAATTGACGCTTTAAGAAGCTATAAAGAGGGACACATATGTGCAGACATGCGTACGAAAGTCCACATAATCGTAGACCATGATCATTTATCATCTGCTTTTTTTTTTAACACGCTGCGGTGACCCTTAATTGCGAGGTTAATTGTGCTATTTCTAATGTTAACACCGATGTAGTTCACAAGCCATCGCCTCAGATTTGGTCATTCAATTTTAATCCAAACCTTTATTGTTTTTTATTAGGTCTGAATCTGCATGTTACCTCGAGGGCATCTTCGATGAAGGCCCTCCATGCAAGTCATTCATTGGGAAGCTTACTCATTCCTATGCTAATGTTATGGGATAATATTTGTTCCTCTGATTCGCAATAACCCAAAGTCCACCTCCGCTAATAAGCTCGATGAATAATGCAAGATGCTTATACAATGTTTAGGTAATGCATGTCTTTGGAGATGAAACTCCTCCGTGGCCAGCCTCGGCTAATGGGAAGTGACTGTTCTCCCACGGGGATGAAAAAGAAGCCCGGTGATGTCCAGTAAACCGGCAGTTTCCCTTCATACCAAACTCAATCGTTAGCGCAAAATGTCACATGGTCCAAAGACCACCTGTCAGTCAAAAAGCATCGTGTCATTTTCCATTTCGGAAAGTAGTTATTCATTCCCTTCTAGCTCCTCTCCGACTGTTTATTTTAAGCAAGGAGGAGCTGTTGGTTGCGATAAAAACATAAAATGCATGAAACTGGGAGCCGTGCCATGAAGTGCTTTGAAAGTAATCGGCGTAGTTTTCAAACTAATTCTGGCAGGATTTAGGACAAGTTTTGTGCGGCGGCTCAAATAAAGGTAAGGTAATCCTGTCCAATGCTTTTCCTGGAAGTGACACCAGGGGGTGAGGGGAAGAGTGGGAAAACTTTCTTCACCTGCTAAAATCTGCAAACTTGTTTTCCATACAGTCGTCTTTTCAACTAATATATTTTATATATTTTTTTTTAATAGTTTTTTTTAAATGTGTCTGTGACTCTTGCTGACAGTACTTGCAACACACACACATATATTTATACACAGACACAATTTTATTTTTTGGGGGGTCATCCTAAATTATCGACCGAGCTTTCGTCTTTTAATCACTAGAAATGCATCAAAGGGAGCAATCAGGTCAAGGAGCACTAAAATAAAGATGCTTGCAGTCATCAGGAGGTAATTTGTCCTCTTGAAGACTATTTTAAGGATTATAACATACACGTGTAACATGAAGGAGGCTCTTCAAATGTTTTTGACCCCAAAAATACTTTTGATGAAAACTGTCCTACTTTTTCAAAAAGTTCTGACACTAATCCTTGAAAGTGCCATTGAAGTGGACAATAATTCAACATACTTTGAATTTTGCAACCCAGTAACACACAATTCTACACTATCTTAGAGAGTTTAAGTCAGGTGGGACATTAACGCAAGCGGCGCACCGACTTTTCTGATCATTGCGTGCAGTTTTCAACCCCAAAATATGATTTGACAGGGGGCAAGTGTAAACCGACCTGAACGGAATGGATGCAACCAGCACTTCCGCGTTTGGTGTTCGTGGCATGTTTAATCTGGTCTGCGTGTAAATACATCACGGCACACAGCGGTGTTGGCAGGAGGAGCTATTTCCTCATCTTTGAAAAGTAAAAACTCACCTCCAAGTATCCTATTTTTAAAAGGCTTTTTATTTTCTTTTTTCCAGTGAGATGTGGTCCCAGTTGCTTTTAACATATATTGACAACGGAAAATGATGTGCCACCTGACCTTTCCACCGGAAATGCTCAATGTGTTGCCATGCATGAGGTCATCTAGACAGGCAACACATTCCAGCACTATGTAGTAGCACTTCCCTTGTTACAGCAGCATGTTTTCATCACCTCCCCACAAGTTTACATCACATAAGGTCTCTAAGCCACTGACTCATATGTGAGCCCCCCCCTCCCACTCCCCTCTGCCTTTCCTTCAACACATGTACTCCCTCCCAAAAAAAAAACACATTCCACCTTCTTGCGTCAAAATGATACCCATCTGCCCCGCAGCCAAATTCCATCCATGTTTTCAGGGATGCAAGGCTTCGGAGTGCCTCCTGTGATGAGACCGGAGCCCCTCAGAATCGCGACAAATTATTTGAAAGTGGAACCACCAAAGTCTTTGTCTCAACCGCAAGAGGTACTGCCGATATGTTATGAAGATGTCAACAAGGTGATTCGGTGAGATTGTGGCTCGTCAAGTCCAAATACTACGCTGCTGAAGACGTGCACGAAATGGCACATTCCAAACAGCTCTATCATGGAGGCATTAAACGATGTCAGAAAGAGCGCCCGAGGCTGCTGGGGTATGGTTCAGCCTTATCTCCAACAGATGAACCCTTCTGGCTCAGACCTGGCAACTATCAACCCGCCCCAGTGGCTTGCACACAGCTTCTCGTGAAAGAAGTGCGGATGCAAAGCACGTATGGAGAGCACACATTAGAAAGCTTTCCAATGGACTCAGGAAGCAGCGGCTGAAGTGCAGTTCACATAGCAAAGCATAATTGGATCATCATTTCATAATATTTGCTTTCGTCACTGCCATTAGTACAAATTGGCTGCCGCAAACGTGGAGTTGTCGACGAGCTGACTGACGTGGAGTACTGTTTGCAATTGAACATTTTAAGAAAAGGCTCACTCATGGCGCAGTGGTCCCATTCACCTTATTTCAGCGCAACAATTCCCACGGTGTACATCCGGATTATTTTGAACCAACTTTTTGCAGCTATAAACATATGGGAAAGAGAAATAGCTATTTTGTTAGCTTGCCTATGAACATATAATCCACCGTTACTTTGCTATTCCCATTGTGTCTCAAAAAAAAAAATGCAGCATGTTTGCACATTGCACAGAGGCAATGACATTTCCTGTTTTTCGTCTGGCTGTTTAGTCGCCTTGGCAACACAGCTTTGATACCATCAATCGTGTCGTTGAGCGTCCCTGATCTTTGAACCCTGTTTCCTAATAAGCCCCATCATAAACTGTAGATCAAACGTCAGATGAGCTATTTGCACACTTGAAAATTTGCTGTCAACCCAGACAATTCTATTGATTTCCATAATGAAACATTTTAGTCCGTCATGACTGTCCCAGACAGATCAATCAGTCTTGGAGCTCATTAATCAGGAAGAGCCATTATTGGCTGATTTAGTTATGATTGTATTTGCATCAGGAAGCTCTTGTCGCGCCTAAACGGCAATGCCTTGAACATAGCACAGCAACCAATAATGTTTTGTCATCCGCGTTGCTGTCCGGGAGCCAATATATGTTCATTTTCAAGAATGTTCAAATCTTTGTAAACTCTAATAGAGCAAATCCATATTCACCATATCAATATTCTACATCTCAGCCCAGTGAAAACATTGTATAGGATCAATTGCTTTAGCCTCAAGGTGTGCAATGTACTATTAGTAGCTTCACACAGCCATGTAAATCAGGGGCTGGAGATCGATTTAAAGTCATGCAGGCTATTTATGACGGTTGGCTATTATGACTACAAGTATGAATACCACAGAAACTGGGTCTTTAATTGCATGCACATTTCAGTACCGGAAGAAATCGAATTTCCCGGAAAAATAGGCACTTAAAAGATGATGTTCAACCTTTCGAGTTCAAAATACAGATGAGCATCTAAAAAGGGGTCCTACGACCTCTATCACCGTTGACCTTAGCTGAACCAATCTTGATCTGCTTCGGAGAAAATAATGAACTTTTCATACTTTACAATCACACTGAGAAAAAAAAAAAAAGCACACAGGGGTGGCAGCCATGGGTCAGCTGAGTCTCTAAAAAAAAAAAAGCATACAGGGGTGGCAGCCATGGGTCAGCTGTTGGCCCTGTGATAGGACAGGAAGCAGATTTACGTCAAACAATTGACATCCACCCAGAGAGAAACTGAAATCACTTCTCCTTGTGACTTCAGCTTCTGTTTGTTCCTCCATCATTCCTCGTAAGCGGTAATTGCACAGCGAAACATCCTGTTTTGAGTTACCTAACTCAATAGAGCTGCTGCTGCTGCTGAAAAAAAAAAGAAAAGAAAAAAAACCAAAAAACAATAAGAATATTTCCTAAGCTGTGTAATGGCAAGAATCGGAGGCAAATGGGTTGTGACAGAAGAATGCGGCAATGGAAGTTAATGTAGTCTAACGTTTTTTATGGTCTTTCTTTTGGGCCTACAGTCAGTATAAGGTCAAGCTGGCACAATGTCGGTTTTATGTTGCTGTAAAGATGACAGACCCCCTACAAAAGGACATTATGAAAGATCTGACAAGATACCAACAAAGGTGGTATGATTTATGCCGGCATCTTTGTCGTGCGGTGGCCCGGGTCAGGGAGAAAATGGTAGCCAAGGTTGTCTGCGCGAGAGAATTAAGTGTCCACACTTAAAATACAGCCTCGGCTGTGGGAACCAGGGAACAATCAAACGAGTCAAGACCAAACAAAATTGGGATTTTTTTGTTAGGCCCTGTGGAAAAAAAAAAACAAAAACCCACAGTAATTCTGACAGCGGGTAGTGAGGTAAATCAGCAGGTGATTCTTCCTGCTGATGTGCAAGCGGAAGGAAGATTTGAGATGAGAAGTGAGGGACGTTGGGGAACGGGTGAGTTGGCGAGGGATTTGGCCAAGCAGATGGTGATCCTCTCACGCTGGACGGAAGTGGAGCCCCGCGAAAGATACAAGGAGAAGAGTAAAGAGCGCGAACTGGAGAGGAAGGATGTGAGTCGCTTCCCAGGGGGAGGATCAACTAGCAGGTTACCCACCAGCTGGGCTGGATGGCATCAGTTCAGGCTGGGGTTGACGAGAGCGGGTCAAGGGGGGCGTCTGGAACTGCAGGGGGATTCAGGGGGAAAAAAAAAAAAGATTGGTGAACTAGAGACAACGTGAAAATTGCAGGTTGGGTAATAATTCTGACAGGGCATGAGAATATGTTGAAGAGAACACCTCATTTTGGGCCATCCGATTGCATTCCTGTTCGTTGTAGCGTGCAGTGTAAATTGTCACATGCTCACAAGATCAGTCGATTCATTGCAAGACTTCTTTTATTTAGGTATTATACATGTAAACCCCCAACAGATTTTATTTTTATTTATTTATTTTTTTGTGACAACGCAGGCCAAAAGCAACTCGGAATATGGAAATGACATAAGTGCAATGTGCAAACTTGAAAGCTCCAGTGTACCAACCAAGAAGATATCTTTGGAGATAGCAAACATTTGCATATTCATCAAGTCTGGATTTTATTAATGAACTGGGATTGAGGAGGCAGAGTTTCTGCATTTCTAAACAGAACATTGTTTTGAAATATAGTTTCTGTCTAGTAGGACTTTGTTTTTTTTCCAGAAGGGAAAACAGTCGACTGTATTTTCATGCGATGGCCTTTTATAATATTTCAACCACATTTTTTTTTTTCTCCACACTTCCGATTTTTGGTTTCACGTGCCAACAGTCAATGGGGGACAGATTTGGATCTTGGCTCCAGCCTTCATATGCGGAGTTCTCCCTCTGCTTGCTTTGGTTAGCTTTGGGTGTTCCGGCTTAAACTAAAGGTCTAAAAGTATCCATTTGCTGTGACTGTGGTTGCTGGTCGCTACATCGTGTGCCCTGTGATTGACCATGTTTCAAAACTAGACCTTTGCAGCTGCAGTTTGAATCGTGACTTCAACTTGGTGATTGTCAAAATTCCAAACGTTTTTATTTTTTTTTAAACATCTGTACTGAAAAGTGTAATCCTCTTTGCGATGCAACAACAAAACAGATGTGAAGGTAAGTGCAAGGAGAGGGAATTGCGGCAGGGGAGAGGAGAGACGTGCGGAAGTGTTGGAGAGCGCGCGTGCTTTTATTCATCCTCGTCTCCACCCCTTCGGAGCGAGAAGATGAAAATGAATCCCAGAAATAGTTGCAGTTTCCAAAATCCAGACACCAAGCTGTTCCCTTTGCCATACGGCAGCTGTCTTCAAACGTCTGGGATGACACAGCAAGCAAGCATCCTGTTTATTGACTAGCAGCAGGAAGCGCTTCCAGGGCTAACAATGCGCGCTACTTCCAAGTCTCCTTGCTGCCCTTTTTCTTTTTTTAAAACTTCTTCCCTCTCTACCCCCCTTCCCCCTCCCCCCCCTTCCAAAAAGGAGCCCTTTTAAAATATATCGTCCAAGGGAAGCTGTGCATCAATATTCATTCATGCAGCATCGCATTGTCGAGCAGAAATAGTAACGGCGATGAGCTCTGCATTTATTTGTCGTTTACCTCCCGGTATGCTAATATAATGAGGTTCTGCTCACCAAATAACCAAAATCTGCATGGACACTGATTCTTTACCGGGTTTCCCACCTGCGACTGGCACACACAGGATACAAACGACGCCTTTAGGGCTTTTTTTGTTTTCTCTCAAGGGTAGAGATAGTGATAATAGTGGGCTACATTTTCTTTGGAGGCAGTAAAAGTAAAATTGTATTCTTTTATCAGGATAAGGTGATTGCGTTAGGTCGGCGCACATATGTTTTTACTGATGGCGTTAGTGAAACGATCTGTCAACCCAATCTGGCCACGGATAATCTTAGTAGAAATCTCCTTAATAAAGCCTAATTTGGCAAATATATATCCAGTAAATGTTATTCTGGATGAACAGAAGTACATTCCACCAGTAACTAAAAAAAGCAGCTGCCGTGCATGGTACAAAGTAGATATACATTACACTTTACTGTAGCCTATAATCCACAAACCTCCTCAGCCTTTAAAGGGATGTTGAAGAGCATGAAGGCTTGTGTGTACTGGCACAGGTTAGCACGGCAGCCTCTCACTGACATATTGTAAATAACATAGCTTGGGATGCTGTTCCTCCAGGAGGGCCAATCAGGTTCTGGCAGGCTGTTGCTGCCTGCATCGTCTCAACCATGATGGTATTTTCAAATGAACAAACAGCTGTACAGGAGTAAACATCAGCAGAAGAAGGACCTGGAGGGTGTCAAGTCAGTATCAGGAGCAAGTGGATCTTGAAAATGTTGGTGTGGAAACTTGGTTTCAATCACAGTGTCGTTCATTTCAGACTTGGGGAAGCGATTCCGGGATGTGATTCCGTAGCTTTGTGTGTGAACACGTGACGCGTCACGTTTTCTGGCAAGAGCTACTGCGCAACTGGATTATTGTCCAGCAATTAGCCCCGTCGGGAACATTGTTATCAATGGTACGTTTGAGGAAAATTTACTTCTTCCATCCACTGACAAAGGGGCTCCTTTGTCTAGCAAATGCTTTCCTTGTTCTCGCCAAAGGATTTTCTGGGATTTTACTTCTTCCAGAGATCCGAGGGAAATTCTGCATAAAAACTGCACGGTTACGTACATTTAAGGAGATTTAAGTACCGAAAAGAAATGGAGCTGTCTCTCCCCTCTCTCACTCGCTCACTCGCTTTTTGTGAGTGACATTGTTTATGTTTCACTTATCTGCGGCAGATGTTAGCTGAGTGAAATTGAATTCCTGGCAATGAGTGGGGGAGAGATGGCCCGGCGCATCCTTTTTTATGTCGAGGGACAGGATTTCTCCTGGCCGGCCTTGATCCCTTGATTGTCTGCCCACGATGTTGTTGGTGGATAATGACAAAGGTCAAGGGTGGAAGAGGCTCTTCCTGAGTCACAGGGCCAAAGAGCCGCTGTCAGTGCGTTGGTTTGGATCAGATAAGAAAATCTCCAGTGGGAAGTTGTGGAAATGTACGCAATGTGTGACAAAATGGCAAATATGAAGCGGTATCAGCGGAGCTACAAATCAGCTCTCTAATTGTGTTATTCAGTAGTAAATGCACCATTAAATGTTTTAATCGCTCCTCTGAGTATGTATCTCAGAGCAAAAAAAAAAAAAAACCCTCTTTATACATTTTTTTCATTTCATTTCTTGCATGTTATCAGGGTGGCCATGCAAATCTTTCTTCAAGATAAATCCCGCAGTGATAAAATGTAGTCAGTCATCTTTATTGGATTCCTGAGACGGATGTGAAGACTCGGAGATGAAATTGCTGCTCCCAAATAAAAACACAGTTGACTTTCCCCCAGAGTGATAGGATTTGCCGGTGTGCTGTAGAGTTGCCATTTATCTGCAGTCAAAACCCCACCAAATCGTTGCTGAGATGATGCAGCATCAGCGTACGATGAAAACGGGAAAGCAAGAGTGTCCCAAAAAAAAACTGTGGTCCCATGTCCCTTACTGTGAGGCTGGTCTCATGAGTGAGCGCTCTGTTTCCTTGTTTACACCAAGCCGTTTCTCAAACCGGAATAACAACCCTGGACAAACATGACTATCAGCTGATTGTGTGGAGGGGGGTTCCACAAGCATGTGCAGATGATACTCATTAGCAGCGCAGTTCTGAACCGCTCAGAAAGCTCTTTAACTCCACTACCTCTTTGAGCACAAACAATGACGACAGACACAACATTTTAGTAAGACACCCTAACGGACAGAGCATTAGCGGTTAAGAGGTTACGCCTGGGCCTTTTGATGTTTTTCATTGTATTATTATTTTTGTAATCGCGGCATAATTTGGTTTGAATGTGAAGTGCAGTTTTCTTTGAAGATTTTGTAATTAGAAGCAATTGTGAGTGACATCGTATCAACCTCCAGAGGGCAGGAGTGACGATATCATCATCTACTCGTGGCTGAAAACTTAATAAGGAAAAGTGTAGAGGCTATACCAGAAGACAAGAATTATAAAAAGGCCATGATGAGATTTGCGAAAAAAAAAAAAAAAAAAATCATCAAAAAAACAGATTCATCAGGGGAATAAAGTGGAAGCTTTTGGACTCGACCAGTCAACCTCCAGACTTAAACACTATAGCTAGAACAAAGAAGAAAATGAATATACACCAACTAGAGTGAACCCCTCTTAATCTTGGGGGACGCAAAACAGACTATATTACAAAAAAAAAGCTGCTGCTGCATGAATGTGCTTCTGCTGTTTGTGTTTCACTGAAAAGTGCATTAGCACCTCCTTTTTCGGATGCCAAAGCATTAACCAAAGTAAGCATCTTGCAAAAATGATTGCTACAAACCCCAAATTTCAGCTGCAGGGGACTCACCACTGTTGTCGTTGTTGTTGCTCCCTACTTCTCATTATGACTTTCTTGCTGGTATATTTGTCACGGAACTGACAGATTACATCTGTGGCAAGGCCGTGATGCATCCGTGACTCTTCCGCAAGGGACAGTCACAACAGTTCCTATGGTGATGTCCTTATTCTATAAATACCCACGGCCATGTTTTTTGTACAGTTTGTGTGTCTGTTCTGAAAATTGCAAAATGATTGCTGAATCAAATTTTGACTTGAAAGGAAATCATTTGTGGTCCATTTCCCCCCCCCAAATGATCTATTGTTTAAATAGCACGGTGTGACTTGGAAGGTCAGTGAGGATAACTCAGCCAGGCTGCTCCTTCACTCCCACGCACGATAAAATAAAAACAACTACAAACGTTTTGTCAAACATTAAAGCGTAGCACTCAGCGCTCGTTCTTGACCAACGTCACAGACGGACTCATCACATTCTCATTGGATGCTGGACCCATCATTTCTGAAAGTGTTCTGAAGTTGCGAGCTTTGAACTGCAAGAAACAATTCATCTGCAGCGAGCGAGCAACAGTGGAGAGGGCTGCGGGCTTTTTCAGACTTGATCTCAGCGGTCGGTTCTAAAGGTAAACTTGCAATTTAACAGTTGGAGACACACAGTATCACAAGCGCATTCTAATAAATGAAAACAACCTCGCCTGACTTCTAAAAGTCACCGTGTCAGACGGCACAGCCAATATATATATATTTTTTTTTTTTAAATAACAACAAATCAAAATGACTACAAGTGTGGCGTGCTGCTCGGGAATCATTTAATCCATCCCTGCCGAAGCTGACCACATTACTCTTCCGGACAAGTGTGGCATTTGCATGTTTCCTTTGACTTTTTTGAGTCGACAAACACACAAACTAATTTTGCTGCAGAATCAGACTATCTTCATGATGATGATTATTTTCTTCCAGAAGCGTGGCTATCAGATCTCCGCATTCAAGCGGGCACTGTCCAAACTTCCATGGGTGGGTTAATAAATGCAATGCCCTGACTGTAATAATTCATCCCACATATCTTGTCCATGCATCACATGAGTATTGCAAAGCACCTCTGAAATAGCAACAAGCATGAAGGTGCCCTTCCGGATGCCTAAATAAAATGCACATTTCTTACATTGGAAGAGACCACTAGAACTAAACCTGTTATGATTTCAGTGTGATCCCTCGTAAGCGTGAAGTTGACCCCTTTATCAATGCGGCCCACTGAATTGAAGTAGCGTCGGGCGTTTGTGTTGAGGACAGTTATCATTCATGGCTGCTTATGGGGGGGGGAAGGTGGCTCGGGGGTGTTGGTTGGGAAATATACAGATAATGGCAGTACGAAAGCCACATTATTAAGAAAAGCTGGTGGAGCAGCAGGGTGGTGCCATCAATCAGGAGACATTTGAGATTTACATCGATCCACTTTTATCGGAGAGCGTCGGCACAATGTGGCTGATCTCCATATTCATATGTAGAACTCTGTGCCATGTCATTAATAATCCCAAAGATGGTCCATAAAACCGATGGTGTAGCTGTGGCAATACAATATGCGGATGCTGGCGGGCCCAAACGATGTGTGTGGGGGTGGGGGGGGTTTCGATTAGGGGACATGGATGGAAAAGTTGATAAGAGGAAGATGTAAAAGAAGCCGCACATCTGCATCCCCGCTGGAGAGCTTTTGGAGAGGAAGATGAATATGGATTCCCATTAGAGAGCGGATAGTTCATATCCAGGTGATTTGTTACGAGGTATCAGCTGCTAAAATCTCGTCTCCCTTCCGTCTGCGCCGCCACTCCTCAGTTGAAGTCATTTGCCAAACAAGATTCCTGCAGACGGCTCAGATTAAAATGCAGTTGAATGAAGTGGCAGGTGGCAATCACATGCTCCCGAGCCCTCCCCCTTCGAGAAGTATTTTAAAAAACAGAGCGAGTGGATGTCTTTTAGTGCGGTAGTACTTTGGCAGCAGAACACAACCCGATGCTAACGACCTCTGATGAAAAGTTGGGAGATGAGCATGTGTGATGAAAATGCATGCAAGCGCGCGGAGAAACCATCAACAAAGAGCTTCTTCGAGACTACCCGTCACTCCCGGCCGGCTGATCCATTTTTGACACAAGCTCAGCGCATATCATGCCACTGATTCGTTTTGGTGAAGATGCTAACAAGGACAAAGGGCCCGTAATTGAATTCTGGGTTGAATTCTTGTAGTCCTGGAAAAGAAACAGATCGTGCAACTAGCTGTTGGAAAGAAGCTCGTCAATAGCCTGGCTACGGTCAAACCTCCCCTGAGAAAGTCACCAGACCTCAACAGCTCCGCTTAGGAGTGTCGTCCATCTGCCTGACATCTCCCACTGCATGCCTGCATCATTGTGTGCTCTCCCGGCCAGCCTGCATACCTGTTTGGTGGTTGCTCTCATTGCACCCCCTTTGCAAGTTGTGCCTTGATGTTTTGTTGAAAGAACTGTCTTGAGAACTTTAGCCAGTTGTGCAAAGCATACAATTAATGTAAACCAACGCTGTGTCAAATGTGTTGTATTTACAACTTGCCGAAAACTGCAAACGTGAACACTGTGCACTGATCAAGATATGTTCTCCTGTCACTCGCAGTCCTGGAGCTCAGCTGCTCAGTTCATAGCGAGACAAGGTCAACATGTTTTGCCAAGGAGGAGATATGCGTTGGTCAAAAGTGTATCAAGGAGAAAGAAAAGCCCTATTCAGGCCCGGCATCCACGGATTGACAATGGATGAAGATGGAGATCACGACCGCACAATGGTGCTGACCTCAGTCGCTCTGCAACATTCACTCCTGCTTTCACCTTCATATCTTTCCACCCGCTTCTCGGTGTTTTTTTTTTTTTTCAGCGAATCAATAAGACCCGTATAGAATGGCTGACTTGAAATTAGCTGGGAAAAGTAATGACAAAAAATATCAATAAGTGTAGATAATGTGACTCCAAACGTCTTTATTGCTGTGGCTGTAATGGAAAGCCATTACTGTTTTACTGCCGAATTCCCTAACCAGTTGTAATTGCAATATTATAGCCTATTACAAAGCAGTTGTGATATTTTTATTGATGCAACATCTATATTTCCTCTCAGCGGAATGAGCCAAACATTAATAAACAGTAAGATACTCTCGGCGCCTCATGTTTGTAAAAGTAGCAAAGCAGCTACTTCCATTCCAGCGTGTTCCAACACAAACCTCTAATCTGTGTTTTTTTTTTCCTTTTTTCTTTTTTTCATCGACCAGTGGCAAGTTCAAACATAGATTCGGGTGTCGTTGATCCCTTTCAGTGTTTCTCCAAGTGTCACATTTTGTTTGCATGGCTTCCCGAAGCGTTCGTCGAGCACGTGCACAGGGATCAGTATCCGTGTGTTTACAGTGCTCCGTGATGATACGCCCTGGCAGGCATCTCAAATATGCAGGTGACCACTTACGCTCCATTGCGGCTTTCCGTGCTACATGGAGCTCCAAGAAAAATAGTGGGAGGTAAAAGTAAACATTGATATGTAGAGCTTGATGAATGCGAAGCAGTGTTATATAAGCGATAGAGCTCTTCAGCTGGCGGGGTGGGCCTCAGAACCTGGCTTGACGTCGGTGCCTAAGAGAGATTTTTTAATGCAAGCTGACTGTCAAAACACCTGACATGCCGCAACCCGCCACGCTTGCTAAGAATGTGTCGGCAAGGGCTCTCTGTGGCGTAGTATTACAAGTATGTTGCACAACACGCTGACTTAAAAGCAGGAGTCAAAATGATCAATGTGATTGAATGTCATCGCATGGAGCCGGTTGAATTTACTGGTCAATCCCCAGCTGCCCGAACAACGAGCTGGATGTGGATCGGATCACATATCAACTATCGATGCCCAATCAAGTGACCTCGAGATCGATATTTGGACCTAACAGAGCTTGGTGAAAACGCTGTCTGGGATGAAATATTGTGACCCGGTTGCCTCAAACGCAATAAGTTGCACGGCGGACTACCAAACCATCGAGAGCTTCACTGTTTACAGTCCGGCAGAGAGTTTACGACATGCAACAATCAGCATGCATTCCTAAAGGCAGCCCATGTTTAGTTTCCACTAATAGCTGCAAGGTTTACTTCAATTGTTGTTCTGCCAATTAAAACCGCTCATTAGAGACCGATGGCATAGTTAGTCTAATTAGTAGCCACGGGCCATGTTGGAATCTCCAAACACTCCGAGAGAAGCCGTTATAAGAGCGAGTCATCACAAGTCCAGTTTTTGAATGTGCGTTACCAAACTTGACTCCTGACAAGGTTGACTTTCTGAATACGCGTGGCCATATTTTCTCTTGACGTGTCCAAATATCGTCAGCATGTGTCCTGAAATACCTTTATTGAAATCAAATAACTAAATAAACAAATATCAGGAGGCTTCAGCTCAGTGAACATCCATGCTCTTTGCTGATGATAAACATAGTGATGACCATAAAACAGTGAGTCAAATTCTTTGAAAGGGAGACAGATCTTTCAACGCCCCAAAGCGTTCACCTCGGGCCCTTTACCCTTTCACCCGTTTTCCCTTGACAGCATCTCCTGCTCGATCCTGCATCAAAGTCATGACACTGCGCCGTTGGACCAGTGGATGTTCAACCATGTCCCAGGGCACCAGCTGGCACGCAAACACACTTTGCACTTCCCTCCAAAGTGAGCCTCCTGTTTTCCATCTATTCTCCAGCAGAGCAGGGGAGTGATACGGGGAGGGAGGGAGGGCAATCGAGGGCAGAGGCAGTGAGAGGCGGGGTGGGCTAGCAAGTAAACACTAAAGGTTACCATCCCCATTTCACATCAAATATCAAGGACACGAGTAATTACCGCATACAGCTGAGAGGTTCCGACACCGGCCTTGACTATCTCTTCTATCTGCCCTTGCGATGGCCTGAGCCGAAACACAAGGAGCTCCCACCGAACGGGGTGATGACCAAAAAAAGCATGAAAATGACAGATGCTAATTGCAATTCTCCCAAAGTGCAGTTGTAGCCTAATTGCATGTCAGGATGTGTCCGATTATTCCCCCGTTTCTGTTTGGCTTCTGGAGGAGATAGATTTCTCTGTGGATTTGATTCCACCTCTGCTGTGCAAACACCCTCCTCTCAACATTGTCAATGTCACGCGGCATAATGCAAGTTAAAGACCTTACGAGCCACCGGTGCAGGTTTATTAGTTTGAAGGTTACTTACAGAAGGTCTCACAGAGAAGGTTAACTCAAAAAAAGAGGAAGCAGAGGAGAAAGCCACAGCTCTTATTAGCATCCCGGTGTGACTCAGTGTTGCGTGTGGCTGGCGTTGGTGAATGAGCACAGGGTGCGAGAGTGTGAAGTTCTACTTGTCGCTTTGTGGGTGGGCACATGTGCTAACTGGACGAATACAGAGTCAACCAGTAAAGGGAGGGAGAGGGAAGGATTTGCGCCCTGGTTTGGAAGACCAGACACATTGTGAAATTCCCAGATTAGGGCACTGTAAAAGGCGGGGAATGCTAAACCGTGCTGGTCAGCAGGGCCGGCTGGGATAAGCGTGCTTTACTACGGAGGGTGTTCGGCGTGTCTGTCAGGGACTGATAGCGCGAGGATGGCATTGACGTCCACTCGTGACGTTGGACTGCCTGCTCCTGCTCCACACTGACCCACATATCACACCTATGTAGCAAAAGTCCCAAATAACAGCGGTAGAATCTGTCAGGGCTGCTAATGACTTCTCACAATGGGTCGGTCAGCCTGCCGTGGGTTGATGTCAAAGCAATCCCGCAATAAAGAACTCTCTCGTATCACAGAAGCAAACTTGAGCACTTTCTACGAGCGTCTGCAGCTTAAGCGCCCGCTCTCAAAATAAGAAATGCGGCCGTGCAGCCCACCTGCGCTACGAATAGCCAAGATGCAAAAGTGAGAGCGGCGTGTCTCAGCCGGGTGCGAGTCACCAGCAGAGAATGATCAATTAGGTGCCGGTGTGGGTACCCCGCACGCTGTCATGGCTTATTTGGCTCGGTGCTCTTGTTATTTACTGAGCCTGGGCCATTTGGGGAAAGAGGTGTTTTTTTTGCCACGGTGCAGCCCTCCCTTATATTGTTCCCAAGGGATGCCAGCCATGTCTCCTGTCATTAGAAGATGTGTGTTTGATTCAGGCAAGCGGCGCGCCGTGCGTTGCAGTCATCGGAAAGCCGTCTGCCTGCTCGGTTCGTGTGTTGTGGGATAGAGGCGGTGGCTCGTGTCATTGCTCTCTGGGGCGTTCGCGCGACCCTGTTTGCCCGTGTGTTTACCTGTCTACTCCAGTCTGCCAGCTTGTCTGTCCGTCGTTATATGTCACCTTGCTGCAGCAGTGTAGGGGACTTCATGGTGTCTGTCCCCCTTGTTCAGCTTCAGAATGACACCAGGGGACACATTCTTCATTTTTGTTACAAATCTTTTTGTCTTGTAATATTATAGATTTATTGTCATTGTTTTCATTTTCAGAATGTCACAAATACGCCTTGATAATGATGCAATGTGAACTATAGCCACACTTATCAGCACAATAAAAATTCAGACAGCAATCAAAGCTATTGTTGTCCTTGATAAAAGCCAAATTACACATTCAGATGTCATGTTATGATGCTCTGTGTGGCGGAAGTAAAGAATTGTAGAAAAGAACAGATATGGTAAACTCATTAATTGTTCATTATTATTTTATAATGAAACAATTTGCTCAATTCATTGTCCGGATGGATACATCGGAGTCATCAGTGAACACAGTTGGTGATTTTTCTGCACATTTGTTTATTTTTCCCTGGAGGTGCTGTGATGGTATAATTCGCCACTCATCCTGTTGCCAGTAAAGTGCCGCTAGGAACAACGTGTTTCATTGGAAAGCGGTCATGAGATACGAATGAGTCATTCTCAGCAGGGCAAAGGTATCTGCTGGGGGAAGGAGAGAAGGGCGTTCTCTATCATGGATGATTATCACCTGATTGCTGCAACCACCGTGATAATCATGTACAAACTAGACCACATGTTTTTTTAATGGGGAACTTGATAGATATTTGTTTAATGTGTTTAAAATAGCCGGGAGGAAGTAAGTAAAAGGACAGTGGCGTCATTGCAGCTTTCACCGTTTAACATTTTATTTTGAACATAAATTGAACTTTGTTATTCCTGTTGTTGGGTTTTTTTGAGGGGGTGCGGGGGTTTGTGCCACAAGTAATTGTTTACGTAAAACCTTCTTGTGTGGATCACTCTAAATCAAAGTGCTTACTGATGATATCCACGATTTAAGCTTGGAAGAATGGACTTGCATGCATGAAGTGAAAAGGGCTAAGACAGTAACAATTACATGAGAGAAAACTCACAATGGAAGCCCATAATGGGAAATGACATAAAGGGTTATGAAGCAAAACAAGTGGATTTTGGTGTAGGGTTTCCTTTTGACAGAAAGAGAAGGCAGGTGAACGACAGGGAAAAGGGGGGAGGGAGGCTGCAGATGGGAGGAGCTTACCACAGGAAGTGCCAGTGACACACAGATCAAATAAATGACATAACTGTTCAAAGTCCAACTACCTTCAGTGGCCGGTGAGGTCATACCGAATAGGATTTGTTACTTTGGCAACAGCAGGCTGTTAGGTTGCCCACTAAGAGTGTCCTAATGTACAGACCACCGCTGAGTCAACAAAGCCTGTGTTTGGAGTCAACCTTTAAAAGTCACGACCTTGGCGAAAGGTGCAGGAGAGCTGATGTGTTTCCTATACACCGCAGCTTCCTAAAGTTCACACGAGGCATTAGCGGTGGCTCATCAGCTTTCCTGACAATAACACAATTCTGGTTAACGACACTTGAGAATATTTACCCACGTTCATTGTTTTATAAGGCCACAAACCCTCGCTTGGATTATTTGTATTCCTGCAAGAAATTGGAATCCTAATTCGGTGTCCAAAGTCTTACTCAGAGTGCTTTTACTGCTTCAAGATTCACTTCAAAACAGATGGCCATTCATTACAAACTTAACCAAGTGGAAAAAGTCCCATTCTGTCTGCCTTAGAGACAATAAATTCACTCATCCTCTCGTAAAATGCCATTGTAATTCTCATCACTCCAATCATCAGTACAGCAAAGGAGTCAGCTATCTGAGCCCATGAAACAGATCTGTGGCACTAAATGATAGATTTGCGTTTGGACAAGCATGATAAGCAAGTGGTAGACTCACATTGATTAGTGTTGTGTGAAGACAAACCCACTGTGGGCAAAAGGCCTTCCTCTCAATGCCTAAGATTGAGATGTCCACAGATAAAAGGGGAATACAATTAAAATGTTACATTGTTGCCAAAATGAAACCCATGACAGCAATAACAGGCGGTTGAGGGCCGGGGTTTATTTAAAAAAAAAAAAATTGTTGAGAGTATTTTTTAAAACTGTCGGTGTACACCTGATAGTAAGTCATCCATTAATAGAGTCGTCAGTGGGGGGGAAAAAAAATCATCGCTCTCTGACCCCATCTCTTGATTTGAAAATCACCACCCCGAGAAAAAACTACCAAACAGAAGCAGAGGTGCAGAAACAAACAAAAAAAAGGCTTGGCTTCCATTTGAAGAGTGCCAGTGAATCATGTGAAACGAGTTCTTTGTTAACTGAAGTCTGGATTTAGTAACCATCAAATTCCAGACACAATCCAGGCCAGGTGAGACAACAATCACCTGTCTGTGGCATGAGTGATAAACTATGACGACAGTATGTACAATATGTTTCCTGTAATGCAGCATTTAAACTATGAAGCAGGGCCACGTGCTCCTCATGTCCCAAGAATGCATGAGTGGGCCGTCTTCAGGTTGGTCATAGGTGATACTTTATCAGACCAGAGCACGTTAAATTTATGGTCATGGTAACCTGATCATAACCCCCAACCAGACCTGCCCACTCCCTTTCCTCCCCCGGAATGTGAACATTGTCTACATCCAAGTTTGCTAATCAGCGGCTTGGGTCTCTGTTTATACCATGGCCTCGATAAATCCCGCCCCCGAGAGTCCTGGTTCCCACAGAGATTGGCAGAAGAGAATAAAATACCCAGCATTCCTTCACCAAGTATTATATAGTAGTCCTCAGTCGTTGGCATTAATGGAAGGAAAACAACATGTATCCTCTGAATGCACCGCCCTGTGCGAAACAATGACTATTGAACTGTCCCACTGATTTTCCAGCACCTTGAAGATCTGCCGCCGAAATCTCTTTGTACGTGACTGCAATGCTCAAACAAACTTAAAAGTCCTCTAGGTGCATGTGACGATTTTTGTGTTTGCCGACTGCAGTTTTGAGGGAGCGCGCATGTGTTGAGCGCAGCAAGGGAGTATTTGTTCATCGGTTTAATTTTAACATAGAAAGCGCTCAAGGCAACCAATGATAGGAGGAGGACACTGTTTCCATTCACTTGCACGATAACCTCAAGGCTGGATGACAAAGCCTGCATGGTTCGGGGTGAGAAATGTTATACGTTATATTGACAAAATATTATAATTGGTAACCCCCATTTGACTAGAGTTCTATCCATCCATCCAAAGTGACCCCTGGTTTGAATGAAATGCATTCTTAGATCTAAATCTGTGTTGTTTTTGCTGACTAGTCAGGCAGAATATTTATGCTTCCCAACTGGTGGCTACCAGCCATTTTGGCCTCTGGAAAATGTAATGGATGGGTCCTGACACTATTTGGCAGCAGTACTAATGAGGTTTACATTTTTAAAATGTTCTCAAAAGATTTAAGCACATAATCACTCTGAAAGTTAATTAAAATTGCATGAACATTCCTATTCACAACTGTGACCAAAAAAAAAAAAAATCCACAAACAACTTTTGGGGACAAATGTTGTCTTTCCAGTATTTTGGATGCCTCAAAAAATGTGCGTACAAAAGTCATGCTGGGAGATAGTAATGAGTACATGCTAAGTGTTGCTTAGATTTATGGCTAAATACCTGCTCGCATTCCATTGCCCTAATAATGTGATGTTTGTGTACTAACATGCTGCACAAGGATGAACATGCATGCATAACATCGCTATGCGCAACCACCGTGGTTCAACATCACATACAAACTACAGTATGATATACAATGGAAACTTTTTGCCAGTGGAAGAAGCCCTTCAGCGAGAAGGGAACCATATTTGGTCACTGTAAAGTTAGGTCAAAATGGACCCCACATACTGAGACTGTAGGCCCACGTGATTTTATGATGGCAATTATTCAAATTAGTATCAGTGTGATTGGTCCCATTTGGGGGAAAAATGTACAGTATCATCATGTATTTCCATAATTTTCTGGAGCTCAAATGCAGACGCATTTTTAGTTACGTAAAGGAGGTTCACGTGAAATAAACATTAGTGGGCCTTCAGATCTTAACTTACGATGACGTTTATACATGTACCGTACGTATGAGGTTTTTCACAAATTCAGACGTG